TGCGAAAGAGTACAAGTGGAATCAAGATATACTAAAGATAAGTCAATGGGTTTTTACCCTAAAATGACAGAAATAGATAAGATTTTGCTGTGTAATGATGATAAATTAATTAAAAATTGTATGTGATAATATTAGAAGACACAAGATGAAATAGTTAAAATTGTATGATTAAATGGGCACAAAATTTGGGTCATAATATTGAACTAGAACAATGGTCTAAAATATGGGAAATGAATATAAAGATTACTAAAGCAATTTCATATAAAGAAAATATTTATAAAATGTTTTATAGATGGTATATGACCCCTGATAAATTAGCGAAAATGTATCCTGAATTATCAAATGAATGTTGGAAATGTAAAATAAAGTTGGTTCTTTTTTCCATATGTGGTGGATGTGTGATAAAGCTAAAAAATATTGGTCCTGGATTCATGATTTATTACAAAAAAATGTTTAAAAATATTGTACCATATAAACCTGAAGTGTTTTTATTAAATATTGTACCAGAAATGTATAAAAGCAAGATTTATCCGGGCCCTGCGGGACCTTGTACAGTTCCGCAGGGCCTGCAAGACGGAGCTCTTCCACCAGGCGTATGAGTAGGAGCCGCCACTACCATCATTATTGTTCCATCTTACCTGGCCCTGGACGAGGGAACACCAGTGTTTCCCTGGAGCGGGTGATGCTGAGGAACAGAGTAGTGGCAATAGAGCTGTTACGCCATCTTGTGAAATACCATCCAGAGCACTTTATTTATTAACTGTTTATAATGTTATCTGTACTCTGATGATTTTAAATGATTTTATATATGTTTTATATTGACGTATGCCCTTGTGGGCCGCCCTGAGCCCGCGTGGTGGGGAGGGCGGGGTATAAATTGAATAAAATAAATAAATAAATAAATAAATAAATAAATAATATCTTATTATACATGTTGTGACTACCACAAGAATACTTTATGCTAAACATTGGAGAAGAAACAAAATCCCTTCAAAAGAAGAATTTAGAAACAAAATTTATAAAATAGCAGAGATGGATAATTTAACTTCGATCTTGAGATGACAAAATGGAATAACCTTTGAAAAAACATGGTCCAAATTTTATAAATGGATTGAAGAAAATAATATCTGATTTCCACAGACATACAACCGAAATAGGACAATGAAACACATGCTTTAATATAGGCAAAGATCTTTATATATATATAAACTATAAGGTGTGAAAAAATATGAAAAAGTAAAAATAATAACTGGTTAATGTATGAGGGTAAGAAGTAGATATAACATGGATGTATACTAATCCCCAACTATATGTATGTTTGTCTGTTATAAAATAAAATGACAAAAAACAATATTTAAAATGATAAAATGGCTCAGTAAAGACACATAAGCAAGGCCAAAACCAGGGAGGAGGGCTAATAACTGTGATTGGGGGTATGCCAAACACAACAAAGAAGTCTTCACCCACTGGCGAAAGACACAGATGGAGGGAGACAGACAAGTCTCCGGGGGGTGGGGGCAGTTCCACAGTTTTGATGCCACGACCGAGAAGGCCCTTTTTCCGGGTTGCCATCTTGAATTGGAGCCACATGGAATCATCTCACCCCACCTCCACACTCTAGTTTGTAGATGAGAAGACGTCAGGCACAGAGATGGGGGGGGGAATCTAATGCAAGGGAGTCCGCTCTCCAAAGTAGCCATTTCCTCCAGGGTGATGCTCTGTATTCTTAGGGCTGTGGATTTGAGGATAGGGACTTGCACTGAAGTGAGATTGTAAAAGAGTGTGTGGCTTTCTGAAAACCCTTCTGTTACAGTAATAATTATGCTACAATACAGTTTGTTAGTCTTAAAGGGGCTACTGAGCTTTTTACTATTTTGTATGTTATGGATGGCAGTGATATGAGAGCCAACTGAGCTGTGGGTCCATCTCATGCTACTGACAGTAGTTACACATTAGGCCCTGCCCAAATGGCTCTGGGCATTAAAGCGCACTTGCCCTGTAGTGATGGAAAGTGCTAGCAAATCATAGCCAACTCATGGTAACCCTGTAGGGTTTTCAAGGCAAGAGACATTCAAGGATGATTTGCCATCGCCCGACTCTGCATCATGTCCCTGGTATTCCTTGGAGGTCTCCCATCCAAATACTACTCAGAGCTGACCCTGCTTAGCTTCCAAAATCTGACGAGATCAGGCTAACCTGAGCCATCTGGGTCCATGGCATGGTGCTGTGTGGGTGCTTCCCAGGCAATCATCTTCAGCCTATTCTTGGGAGCCACAATCATTAGGAAAGAGCCATGTGATAGAAGTGTAATAATAATTTACTCATATTTGCAAGAGCCAATAAGATTTGAGTCTGATGGGGGATTGGGCAAATTGATCTAAGGAACTGAAAGAAGAGAAAGTATTAGCAAGCTCAGTGGTTAAGGATTTGAATAGAGCTCTTTATAGTCCAATCCTGAGGACACTTCCCTGGGAGTAAGCCCCCTTGGATAGATCTCAGTAGGATGTCTCTGTTAGACTGATGAGTAATTGTTATAGGAAGGGGATAAACAACTAAAGTAGATGAGATCCTTCTTTTCTATAACCATGGATCTACATCCCCTTCCTCAAGCCTTGCTGCTTGTCCCAACTCTCTAAAGTCAGAGCAGTTTGGCCAGTGGCAACCCTCTGCCTGTCCAGGAAGTTCAACTAAATGCCACTAGAAGTTTTGTCTCCACTGCTACATCACTTAATGCATTACAATATAGGTTCCTGTTCAGGCTATAATGTATGATGCTTTAGTTTGTGAAGATCTGTTTTCTTGGTCACATCAGTTGGTGCTATTTCCCCCCCTGTAGACTCCTCTTCCATCCCAACGGACTCTGCTGCTCATATGTTGTCTGTCAATCCCACCTTTCCTCCAGTCTCCCTTCCCTTATATTGGCCTCACAGCAATAGCAATATCACCCAGCCTGATGAAGGGAGCTTTGACGCTTGGAATCTTGTTCCCTGAAACTCTTGTTGGTCTCTAATCTGCTACTGGACTCAAATCTAACTGTCCCAGTATCACCGAGTAAGCACCATGCAAAGTATAGATCTGAACACGGGTCTCCTCAATCCACACTGGTCTTCATGCCATTGGTCCATCTACTTCAGCATGGTCTGCTCTGATGCAGGTGATCTCTAGAGACTCAGACAGAGAAAGATCCTTTCCAACACCTGAGGTTCTTTTAGACCTTCTCGGTTTAAACCTTTATCCTTGGGCACACAAAGCATGGTCTCTCTACCATCAGTCCATCAGTGTCATCATTGTCTACTCAGACTGGCAGTGGTTCTCCAGGGTTTTATGTAGAGGATTTTGCCCATGCTGTGCTTTGTTTCTGAGCCGTTGTGGTCTGGCTAGGGTGGTTCCCAAGCCCTCCTAAATTTTTGGAGAGCCCCTTCCTAAATCCCACATGGCTCCGCCTCCATAAATAGTGACAATGGCCTGTGATGTCACTGGCTCCTCCCTATGACGTCACTGGGCCTCGGTTCTTTTAAGGACCTAGCACAGCAATGCCTCTGGCCCAGCCCCCCCAGAAATTGGAAAGTCTATGCCCCTTGCCCCCTAGTTCCAATCAGCAGCTTTAGCTGGCTTCTTTTTGCAGGGGCCATTTCTGCCATGACCTGATCTCTGCCCTGAGGACAGTAAAGGTGCACGGGGTGGGGGGAGGACTCGTCGGCCACGGTTTGAGCCTGTGCAACACACGGGAGGCTTGCTGGCTTGAGTCACCCAGTGCTCCGGCTGCCGAACAGCCAAGGCCACCGGTTTCAGGTCACATCAGGGAATATTTAGTAGCAGATGTCAAGATTCCCCCCTTCGAGTGGGTATCACACAAGGTCAGTCAGCAAATCCTGTGCTAAAAATAGGTGCCAGTTTCAAAGTTGGTGAGATCTTCTTTGTCGTCCCCGACGGGCTCGGAAGATTCACTCTCTGCCTCCTGCTCCCGGAGCCACTTGCAGGTAAGCCGGGAGGCGAGAGCGCCGGCTGGCCTCCCCCCCCCACGCCCACCCTTTCCTTCCAACCAGCCAGGGCAGAGGAGGGAGGCGGAGGATGGATTGCGGGGCAGATCTTTCGAGGCAGCTGGTGGCTTCTTGCAGCAATTCTAGGGAGGAGGCAAGGATCACACCAGAGAGTCATTCGTTTGGGAACAAACTGGGTGCCTGGAACACTCAAAGACGAGCAGGACTTCCATCCCGGGGGCTGGACTTTTGACCGTATAGATTCACATCTGTCACTATACAAACTCTCTGGTTTGGAGATTTTTATTTTTAAACTGGTACCTGTTTGGGAGATTCTTCAATCTCATACTGGGGACCTTAATGTTTGAATACTATTCCTTAGGAGGAGGTCTGGGTCTCCCTGCCTGCTGACTTAGCAGACCACCCAGGGGACAGAGCTTTGCATGCAGCCCTCCCCCGAACCTCAATGGCACTACAGATAAGATTAGAATTTCAACAGCCAGCCCATATGCAAAAGAACCTCCTCAGGAAAGCTCCTCCATTAGCATGTCACAGGCCGGGGAACTCCTACAAGATAGTGACTCAGCCATACCCCACCTTCCTGAGTGGATATAAATTACCTGCCTGCCATTTTTTCTTCTACTCACCTGGACACAGAGAGTACTCCCTCTTTCTGTGTTATACCTCTGAGGATGCCAGTCACGGCTGCTGGCGAAACGTCAGGTCCGACAATGCCAAGACCACGGCCACACACCCCGGGAAATCTACACCCACTAGCACCCAAAAGGGATTGCTTGCCATCCCTGCCCAAATGTATGATGTGAATAACCCTTTGGGCAAACAAGCCTGTTGTTACAAAGACAGCCATATCTTAAAAGAGAACAACTGTTGCCTTGGGAACTTATGACCTTTTTCTGTTGTTGTGTTGCAGTCTCCCCCACCCTTCCAAAACTGATAGCAAAACTCATCCCTCTGCAACCAGATGTCTTCGGCAGGTCTGAAACCAGTAAAGATAAGTGCCTACACTGCAGTCAAAGTGGACCCTGATGGGGACTACTGTACCCCTGGTGCATTTGACCTGGAGCGGCTCTTCTGGAAAGGCAGCCCTAAGTACACACACGTCAACGAAGTCTGGCCCGGTCTCTACATAGGAGATGAGTAAGTAACGCCAAGCCAGCAGCTACTGTAACCATGGATCAAGATGTTTGTCATAAGTAGATCGCAGCAGGTGTGCGCTATTGACACTGTAACTCTGGGGCTGCGTGGGGTGCCGGCCAGCTTGTGGGGTCGTAGTAGTATAGGGGTCCCCAGCATGGAGCCTGCACGTGCCAGGCCGCCTGCTGACAACCTTTTTGGCACCCACCCAGTGTTTTAGACAGTGGGCGGGGGCAGGCGGGGGTTTTGCCCAGCAGAGCTTCTGATAGGCCACGAGGGGTTCGATTGACTGTGCAGATTTTTTTTTTAAAGGCTGCCCCCACATCATAAGGATCTCTGATTTGGCTCCACCTCCTCTTGCAGCAGCCATTTTCTGGCCCCCGTTTTGTAGCTGTGCTCGCCGTGCTCTGTCCAAAGGTGCACACCGCCCCCAAAAGGTTGGGAAACCCTCTTGAAGCAGATGGGTTGTCAGTTGCCAACCGGAAACGAGCAGGTGGGGAGACCTGGGCTGGAGGCTTGGAGAATCCAAGGGGTGATTCTAAATCCCACACTGGCCTCCAGCCAGAGCTCCCAACACTCCACCGTTATGGTGAGGAGGGGACATGGCCCACGACTCCCTGGAGCTCCCAGGGAGCAACGCGCCCCTCGCCTGCCCGCCCCAAGAGCAAGGGTGGCCCTAATCCAATGTGAGGTTTCCTGCTTGTAGAGTGACCTGATGCAAAGGACCTGATGAGCCAGGGAGACCTTGAATGACGGGCTGGATTTCTGGCAGGGGCAACAGTAGAGGAGATGGGCAAAGGAGCGGCGGCTGACCACAGAGGCCTCTTTAATCTTCCCCCACCCGCCTGGTCAGTGCCTCCCCTGGGCAGTGTTGACATTTCTCCCCCCAGCCCACCCCTGGAAGCAGAATGGGTCCTCCAGGGGGCAGGAGTGCCTGGGATCGGTGGACCCAGGAGGAGCCCTTGATCCTGCCCTGTAAACGCCACCAGTCCCTGCCCTTCCAGCTCCCGGTGAAGATGTGGTTGGGAACACTTCCTCGCCCAGAAAGAAGCCCCCTGGTTTGCTTCAGCAGGTGGTCACGCTGGTCTGCCGCAGAAGAGCTGGGCCGGAGGTCTGTAACAGCCCCTTGGAGACCAAGAAGACTGGCCGGGCAGGAGCTCCGTCCGGGAGCTCTGGCTCTCAAAAGCCCCCCGCCCTGCACATCTCGTGGAGCCAGCCTCAGAGTATCAGGGACTGAGGCCAGGCATAACTCTAACTGTAACTCCTCAACATCTCAACATGATGACTTTTGAAATGAACACACTGTCATACACCTTCAGTCACCCAGTGAAGTTCCTTGCGTGGTGGTGGTGGCGGTGGCTGCTCCCAAAGCAATGCTTTAAAAAATCTGTTCAGGAAATCAGATCTCCAGTGGCCAATCAGAAGCCTTGCTGGGCAAAAGACCCACTTCCCCATTCTCTTTCTAAAATACTTGGCAGTGTCAGCTATGCTGCCGTGGGGGTATGGTTATGACGGCCCACCTGTCCCATTCCTGGAAGGGGATACGGACATGGGGCTGGGGGACGCTGCTCAATGGTGTAAACCATTGCGGGACTCTTGGCCTCTCCTGTGCAAGACGTTGACGGCGGCCAAAGAAGCCTATAAGGCGCAGGCTGATAAGAGAAGGGTGGCGGGTTGGGCTCTACAGCCTGGGGACTCTGTGTATGTTTCTACCAAAAATATCAACATGACCAGGAGGCCTCCCGGAATGGTTGGGAGAAGGTGATTTTCGAGAGGTCAGTCTGTCAGCTATGCTGCGATGAGGGTTGGGGAGTTCATTCTGTGTCTTGGTAATTGCTATTGCATTCCTATCTCTGCTGTTCTGCCTGTGCTGAAATGCTTATCGCTACAGATGTGCAGGAGGAGGATGTATTGTCTGGAAGTCTCCTGTGTACCGTGAGAGACTACTAGTTCCCAGCTTTCGCCACCTAACGGTTTCCTAGCCGGTCCCACGTGTGGGAGGGTAGCTAATTGGCCCATGCCATGGGGGGGCATACGAATGCCCTATATCCTATTATGCTCAATGGGTTGGCGCCATTCTTAAAAGTGCCTGTGCTACTGCATCTATAGCATTGCAATAAAAGTATAACCGTTCCTGAATGCGTGTATTTCGTTGCCAGCTGTGGGTTCTGACAGGCAGGTGCCAGAATCAGCGGGCACCAGGGTGCCACACTGGGGACTTGTGCTGCTTTGGCAAAAAAGGGGAAATGGGCATGTGTGGAAAAACGGGTTCCTGGCTACAAAGGTGAGCCTGAGGCATGGGTGTTCTCTCCCACTTCTGTCTCTGCAAAAGGTTAAATGCCTCAACGGTTGATAACCCCATGAGCAAAGGTTATCCTCCACCCTACAACTGTCAAAACTGGACTAAAAAGGTAAAGGTAAAGGTTCCCTTGCTTGAAAGCCAGTCGAGTCTGACTCTAGGGTTGCAGTGCTCATCTCCGTTCCAAAGCCAAAGAGCCAGCACTGTCCGAAGACATTTCCGTGGTCATGTGGCTGGCATGACTAAACACCAAGGCACACGGAACGCTGTTACCTTCCCACCTGTGGAGTCGCCGTGTTGATCTGTGGCAGCAGAACAAGGTCTGAGTCCAGGGGCACCTTTATTTATTTTTATTTTATTTGTTAAATTTATACCCCGCACCTCCCCGCAGAGGCAGGCTCAGGGCGGCTTATAATATACATATATAAATATATCTGTTAAAACACTGACATATAAAGGTAAAGGTTTCCCTTGCTTGAAAGCCAGTTGAGTCCGACTCTAGGGTTGCGGTGCTCATCTCTGTTTCAAAGCCGAAGAGCCAGCGCTGTCCGAAGACGTTTCCGTGGTCATGTGGCCGGCATGACTAAACACCAAGGCGCACGGAACGCTGTTACCTTCCCACCAAAGTGGTACCTATTTATCTACTTGCAATTTCTTGCTTTCGAACTGCTAGGTTGGCAGGAGCTGGAACTAGAGACGGGAGCTCACTCCGTCCTGCGGCACACTCGGGTCTCGAACTGCTGAACTACTGACCTTCCACAGCCTGCAGTTCAGCGTCTTAACCCCTTGAGCCACCGCAGCTCCTTCTAAACTGGACTACAGACCTGCTAAATTCCCTGCTCCCTCTTACTCCATAGGTGCTCAGTTCTTCCTTGTATTATCAGTGGGTAAAATCAGACATAGGAGGGAGGCACCAAACACCACCTCCCACTCTCGCGAAGCCTCTTCCCTCTCTCGTCTGAAGATCGGGTAGCGAAGGAGAGGTGAGGGTGGCCTCACAGCGTTGGAGCGCCTTGTGGATGGCAAAGCAGTTGAGTCAGATACAGCCCATGGAGGCTTGCCAGCCAACGGCAAATCCACTCTCACTTGTCAGTAATCTACAAGGTAATGCTTCTGGCTGAACCAATTAATATTCAAAATCATGCCAATTTCCAAGTCAGGATTCCTCCAGAGCCATCGCTTTCACAGTCAGCACAGCCGAGAAACTTTCAAGCCTGTCAAGTTGAGACCTCCCATCATTGGTGATACGGAGGACACCCGACCTTTCTCCTGTGGCTCTCGAGGCAGCTTCCCATCCCGCTACTGAGCAGGGCTGCCGCAACACAGGCCTTCCGGCCCTGGCCTCACGCCAAGATATTGCTGAAGACAACGAAGAATCTACAAGCCAGACATACCTAACCTTTTCCGTACGGCGACCCGTTAAGTCCAAATTTACTTGGTAGGGTGACCCACCCAGCGCTGGCCCAAGGGTTTGGTGGTGGTTGTCTTTTTGGTGCCCTGGGCAAACGATGACCAAGGCACCCATCTAGGTCAGCATGTGCCATTTTCTACAGTGGCTAAACAGATAGTTCCGAGAGACTAACCAACATCGCACGGAAAGCACAGCTGCCCCCACTATGAACCCAAAGCGAGTGGCAGTCTGACAGACACAGCCTTTGCCTCTGGAGGGGCTGCATCCCCGCCTCTGACCCCCCCCCCTCCTCCATGACTCACTCTAATCCATCCCTTTAAGAGTCTAAGAAACTCTCACTCCCGTGACCCTCAGGACAAGTTATACTTGACCAACATGTATATGCACCGAAGGAAAAACACCAACTAACACAGGGCATGGAAGATTCTGTTCCCAGGGTCAGAGCGTGGTTTCCAAAATCCAAGAGAGTTCCATGGAAAGCGCAGAGGCAGCCATGAGGGAGGTCTGGCCTGAGACCCACTTCTGGAGGCCTTATGGCCAATGTTCCCTCTAAGCTGTGGAGTCTCGTGAGCAAAAATTGTACTCTGTGAGGTACTGCCATTAAAGTTGGGAACGAGCGATTTGCCTGCTGCATAAATTAGTTTGCTCTGGATCTATCCTTCCTGAGCTAAGACAAACATGTGTGAGCTGGAGGCTAAAAACTGTGAGCTAGCTCACACTCACTCATCTTAGAGGGAACACTGCTTCTGGCCCACTTTTGGGTCCCAAACCACAGGCTGGGAAACCCCGCTCTAGACTGTGAGGCAGAGGGAGACACTGACTGCCCTGCTTCTAGGTCAGCTCATGATCTCATACCCAGTTGTCTGATATAGAACGCCCGTGGCAATAAGCCTCAGCCTCTGCTCTTCTTCTGCCAAACTACTTGCCTCCAGATGAGCTGCTTAGTCTTCCCTTAATTCCTTGGACCAACAGGGCCCCAGAAATCAGCAGCTGTATTGGGGAGGGTGTGTGTGTCAAAAGACTTTTCAAGGATTAGCCTAAAGAACATCACCCAGTGATGTTGTACAACAGGTCGACCACATGCAATGTCTGAAGGGTATTTTTGTGTCTGGAACTTTGTGGGAGACATTGTGCCCAGAGTCCTTGGCTGGCTGCTGCTCCCAGGCATCATTTTCAGACATGAAAACACTCTTCACACATTGCAAGGGAAAATGCGGTTGGCCAACAATAGGAAACTTCAGAAAGAAGCAGCACTGCTGATTGTCTTGGTACAGTTACATACATACATGAACTATGGTGCTGGAGAAGACTCTTGAGAGTCCCTTGGACTGCAAGAAGATCAAATCAGTCAATCCTAAAAGAAATCAACCCTGACTGTTCCCTGGAAGGCGAGACAATGAACCTGAAGCTCAAAAACTTTGGCCACCCAATGAGAAGGGAGCACTCACTGGAGAAGAAGACCCTGATGCTGGGAAAGATTGAAGGTCAAAGGAGACGGGGACGGCAAAGGGTGAGATGGTTAGACAGTGTCACAGATGCAACGAACATGAAGTTGAGCAAACTTCAGGGGACGGTGGAAGACAGGAAGGCCTGGCGTGATCTGGTCCACGGGGTTGCGAAGAGTCGGACTCGACTATGCGACTGAACAACAACAACACATACATACATACATACATACATGTGCATACTTGCTTTCTCAACCTTTTGCTCAATGCATAAGAACATAAGCAGAGCCCTGCTGTATCAGACCAATGGTTCATCTAGTCCAGCATATCCCGTCTCACACAGTGGCCAACCAGTTCCTCTGGAGGGCCGACAACATAGAGGCCAAAACCTTCCCCTGATGTTGCCTCCTGGCTCTGGGATCCAGAGACTTAATGCCTCTGAATGTGGAGGTTCCCCTCCGTCAGCATGGCTAGTAGCCACTGTAGAATCTGCCCTCCATGAATCTATCGAATCCACCTTTAATGTTGTTTATTCCTGTGGCCATCTGGCAGCAAATTCCACACTTTAATAATTACCTACATAAAGAAGTATTTCCTTCTGTCTATCCTGAACCCACCGCCCATCAGCTTCATTGGATGCCTTTGAGTTCTAGTACTTCGGGAGAGGAAGAAAAATCTCCCTTTGTCAAGTCTCTCCACCCCGTGCATAATTATATAAACCTCTGTCACATCCACCCTTAGTTGTCTCTTTTCTAAACCGAAAAGCCCCAGAGACTTTTCTGTCTTTCCTCCTAGGGGAGGGGCTCCAACCCCCTAATCATCTTGGTTGCCCCTCCTCTGTACCTTTTCCAGCTCTGCCGTGTCTTTTTTGAGATGTGGTGACCAGAACTGTACACACAGTATTCCAAATGAAGCCATACCATAGATCTATACCGGGGCATCATAATATCGGCCGTTTTATTTTCAATCTCTTTCCTAGTGATCCCTGTCAAATCATAATCCCTGGAAGGCCAGATAATGAAACTGAAGCTCAAATACTTTGGCCACCAAATGAGAAGGGAGCACTCACTGGAGAAGACCCTGATGCTGGGAAAGACTGAAGGTCAAAGAAGACGGGGACGGCACAGGATGAGATGGTTAGACAGTGTCATAGATGCAACGAACATGAAACTGAGCCAACTTCAGAGGATGGCGGAAAACAGGAGGGTCTGGCGGGAGCTGGTCCATGGGGTCGCGAAGAGTCGGACTCGACTGTGCGACTGAACAACAACAACAACGATCCCTAGAGCAGGGTTTGCCCTTATCACTGCCACAGCACACTGGGTTGACGCTTTCACTGAGCTATCCTCTATGACACCGAGATCTTTCAGTCTCACCAAGTTCAGCCCCCATTCGCCTATACTTGCAGTAGGGATTTTTTGTCCCCATATGCATCACCCGACACTTAACAACACTGAACTTCATCTGCCACACTGTCTCTCGCTCACCCAGTTCGTGGAGGTCCTCTTGGAGCTCTTCGGAGCCAGCCGGGGTCTTCACCATCTTGAATAACTTTGTGTCATCTGCCAATTTAGAGGCAGATGTTGTGATCTGGATGCTTTGAAAAGCATGACCCAGACGTTCCAACAATCTTAAGTACATCTGAGGCCACTGAAATCAATTATCTTGAGCATAATTATTTTGGCTTTTATTTGTGTTCATTGCATTTGCTGTGAGTTGAAAGTTCCATCTATGGCATTAGACCAGTGACCATTCACACAGTCAAATCGTCACACTATGCAGTCATTAACCAGCATCCTGTTGGATTACTTCAAATAATAAAAGTATTCCTAACAGATCGGGTAGCAGATGATGTGAAGGACCTCTGCCTAAGACCCTGGAGGGCCTCTGCCAGTCTGAGTATGTTACCCAAAGGGGCAGCCTTCAGTTAGTTCAGGGGAATTAGCATAGGAGGCTGCGAGAGGGGGCAACTGGGACTGAAACACCAATGTTTATGGGGATTGTTCCTGTGAGAAATTGTGACTAAACAGGAGATTTGTTCAAAATACAGAGTTTTTTATCAACAGAAAAAATGAAGAAAAAGGGGGGGGAATTCATTCAACAAAACACACAACATTCAAGAGCTAACTAGAAAAGCAGGAAGGAGTGGGGAAACAGCGTTCTGGGAATTGGATGATATTTACCAGTCTTAGAGAGCTCCATGGAAGCAGCAGATCTAGAGAGAAACGGCCAGCATTTTGTTCTGTGAAGGAGAGAAAATAAAGAAGCCCATGAGTGGGGGTGCATGTGGTTGGTACCAAGAACGCAACGGGTTTTCGGGGCTGATTCTTATAGGAAAATTGTACTGTGAGGCTGTGGAAAGGGTTGTGTCTTTTCTGGTGGGAAACTTTTAGAGAACAATCATGATCGTTGCTTTACCAGGATGCTTACAGGCACAGTAGCTTGTTTAATTGCTGGGGGTGGTGTTAGATTCCAGCACTCGCAGTCTGGGGAGAAGTCACCAACCGCTGCAGATTTCAATAACCAAGTCCAGCTAGATCCAAATGTCATGCCAGTGTTATCCTTGACAAATAATTGCTTCTCTTTCCAAACAGAAAAACAGCCCTTGATCGTTACAGTCTTGAGAAAGCTGGCTTTACCCACATCCTCAATGCTGCCCACGGCCGGTGGAACGTGGACACCGGATCAGACTACTACAGGGACATGGCCATCGAATATCATGGCGTGGAGGCAAATGATCTCCCGACCTTCAGTCTCAGCCCGTTCTTTTACCCTGCTGCTGAGTTCATCCACAATGCTCTCCAGAATGAAACAAGTAAGGGTCTGAATTTTTAGCAATGACGTCCTCTGCACTGAACGTGAGCCGCTAGGGCTGCCTCCTGCACCTGCTATCCTGGTCAGAAGGCAGATACCGCTTCTGAGTAGTAAAATCACATATATTCTGCAAACCTGTGAAGGAAAAACAATCTCTCACCCTTAATCATTACTTCCTTCCCATCTGTAGCCATAACCCCTTTTTCCAAGGAAGAGAGATTATAACAAGACATACCCCTGAGCATATATGAAGCACCTAGTATCTTCTCAGCTTTGAATCTCTGCAACCTGCCCACGTATGCTTAGAACTGAGGAGCAGGCCTTTTCCCCGAAGGAGGCGGGACGCAACATGTTGGGATCTCAAGACAAAAAAGGGGGATTCTGTTGGTGTCTCCCCCATTCCATTGGCCAGCAGCTTCCTTGCCTGGTCTTGTGTTAGGTGTACCTGGTATTACTCAGAAATTCATGGCTTCCATTTAGTATCCTTTCCTTGTCATGGACAGATCCTTGTCTAGTAAGAGACTTAGAGAAGCTTTATAATTCCACAAGACGGGGACAACGTATTAAGACGGTCTGCCCTCAGAGACTGATGGAGCCTGATGGTTTCCTAACATCTCTGGGAGGGAGGGAGGGAGGGAGGGAGGGAGCTTCCTTGCAAGGGACCGGGGGCCGTATTTGGGCAAGCTTGCGTTGCCAGCCTCCAGGCGGTAGCTGGAGATCTCCCGGGACCAGGGAGGGAGGGAGGGAGGGAGGGAGGGAGGTCATTTTAAAGCCAACTCTGTGTTCGTAATGGTACTTCTCTGCCACCATCATTCCCTCTGCAGTCTGTTGTGGCCAGTGTGTAAAACATGTTGCAGATGAAATCAGCAGGTGTGGGCTGGGAGGGGAATGACCCTCCGCCCAGGCCCAGTCTCACCTTGCCCCTAAGAGCCCTCCAACAAAGGGAAGGGGAGCGAGTGAGCCCCATGCCGTTTGGCCATGCGCCTTCTTCCCTGCCTAGTGTGCAGAAAGGCCTGTTGGCTTGTAGCAGCATTAGCTACTGCACACCCAACACAGGCGGCGAGAGCCTCACCTCACGCTGGGACCCTGAGGTCACTGGATCCCCAGGACTTTCCCACCCCTGGAAATCAGGGACCTCCACTCCTTCCTGTCATGTTTCATGTGGATATTTCCACTTGGTGCAACCTGAGGACATGGGCGGGATTCTTGAAGAAGGCAGGTGGACCACGATGCCCCCTCCCAGCTTATTAGAACAGCCGTCGGTCTGAAGGCCCTGAAGAAGGCGGTTGTAGCCTCCCTCTCTGAAACCACCATTATTAAACACTTACCAATGTACACTAACTGCCGGACCGGAAAAACACCACACAAGGGCAAAGGGCTCAGACTTGCGATGGTTGTTCAGCTCCCCACATTCCTGGCGGAGGCTGATTCCATTCCAGTCCGGCATACAATCTGGTTTTAGCATTGCTGGGTGCATGACATACACTGAGGCATTGGCTGACCCTATCTGTAACTCCCCCCCAACAACAACAACAACAACCCCCACCCCGGGTTTTAGATTGTGAGGCGGTGGTGTTTCCCCCCCCCAATACATTTTATTGAATATTTATGAAAATATCCAAGTGAATGAATACAACAACTATAAGTGCATAGAGAACTTCATATATAATCTATGTTTAACAAATGATATTCAAATAGCATCTAGAAAGAAACAAAGTAAACATAGTTAAATAAGAGACTGATAAAGAGACAGTTTCAACAAACGATGCCTCAACTCCAAAATGAGTTGATCATATGTGTTAGCTGCAAACTTCCACATCCATCTAGAGTAGAGACATTTATCTTACCATAATCTCAGGTCATCAGTCACTTTAGGGGTGTCAGTGTGTTGCGAGAGGTATTCTAAAATAGGAAACCATGTTGAGACAAAAGAGGTAGGATCAGGAATGTTGTCAAAGCGTGTAAGATTATCCGAGAGTTTTGCCATAATTTATAAATCCCACATCTTTATATGCCATTGTGAAAGAGTGGGTGCCATTGTTGTTTTCCAATGAGTGGCTGCAAAAAGCATTATGGAGACCCTCTCTACCATCGTGGGAGCAGAGCCATGAACTGCCCAACTGTTCAAAAATAAGTGTTCAGGTATAGGTAGAATTTCTAAGTTGTTAAATGATTTGATCTATTTGAATGCTCCCTTTTGGGGCAAGCTACCCAACAATGTAAATAGGTGTCCAAATCCCCACATTTTCCCCAGCATCTTGGATCATGTGAGTGGGTTATGTGAGATAATTTTGTGATGCGGTAATTTTCATTTAAAAAATAAGATCTGGTTTGTAGAACAAGAACATTTCTCGTGGAAGAATGGGGAGGAAGAGAGGACACACAGTGGTGGCTGGTACTTCCTGAGCTCCACCACTGGACTTTGAAGTTCTGCTCCCCCAAAGCTCCCCATGGCTCACCCCCCCTTTTGAAGTCAAATTGAGCTGCGATGGGTGTGGGCGTGGCAGGAGACCTCCAGGGGGCCAAGGGAGTCTGGCCGGCCTCTCCAGCCAAGCGTCAACTCTCATAGCATCATGATTTTGCCCACATGGGCACTTTGTCAGCCAATGAGTTCCGCTAATGACTAAAGTCCCCTTGTATATGCAAAGTATGTCGGTGAGTCAGAACAGACTCATGGGGACCCAGGAAGTTCCACCTCAAGGGAGGGGGGTTCTCAAAGGCAAGAGAGGAGTGGGGGTGGTCTGCCCTTGCCTTCCTCTACCTTGGTGGTCTCCCATCTAAGCACCCACCTGGGCTAGTCTGGGCTACTATGTGTAACAAGCATAAAATTAACCCTATAGTTTCTTATGCAAAGTGTTTAGCACAAGTAGGTCAAAGTTTCTTACCTTTAAAAGAACTGTTCTTACTCAATATCTGCATTTCTGATCAACAGTCCATAGACACTAAAATATACAGAGCCTGGTGGCAGTTTATCAACAGACTTTTTTATTTGGGAAAATTCCACTTCACTGACTCCTGGTTACATGGTTCTCAGTGTACCAACAAAAAACTTCCTACATGAAGCCACCGCAGTTCCAGATTGTTGTACTTTGCATGCAATTTTCATACGTGCAATAGATGCCCTATCCTAGGGAGCAGACATATTGTAGTTATTGAGACATCCTTATTCTGAAACTATCAGTCCCAGGTAGAATAACATAAGAAGAGCCCTGCTGGACCAGACCACTGAGGGTCCCTCTAGTCCAACATCTTGTCTCACACAGTGGCCAACCAGTTCCTCTGGAGGGCCAACGACAGGGCAAAGAGGCCGAGGCCTTCCCCTGACGTTGCCTCCTGGCATTGGTATTCAAAGGCTGACTGCCTCTGAACGTGGAGGTTCCCTTTAGCCACCCTGGCCAGTAGCCAATTATGGACCTATCTTCTACAAATCTGTCTACGCCCCTTTTGGGGATACTCCAGAGCCAAGTAGGGGTTTTACCCACCTCTTAGTTCTTCAGATGTAGTAATAATATGAAACAGTTAACCACATGGTCTGTGCCTGCAGTGAAACTGCTCAAACTGACTATAAAGAACGTCACGATTAGAGTTGCAGCTGTGGTGCGCCGGGATCTTGGCAAGAAGTGTGGCTCACCATCAGCCAGAGATTCATGGGAGCGCAAACCAGACAAGATAATGGAGAATGAGGGAACAAAGATTCTTTGGCACTCCCGATCACAAACAGATAAACACCTGGAACACCCCTGATATCACAACTGTAGAATAAATAAGAAATAGGGTTTGGATCATTGATATTGCAATCCCAGGAGACAGCAGAACAGAAAGGAGAAGATCACAAAATACCAAGACCTATAAACAGAGTAGAGCACCTCTGGAAGAAGAAGGTGACCATTGTGCCAGTTGTCACTGGAGCCCTTGGAGCAGGGCCTAGAAGGCTCAAGAAACATCTGGACATTCTGAGCCTTGAGCAAATCCAGAAGAGAAGGTTTAGAGGGGACAAGATTGCAGTCTTCAAGTATTTGAAGGGCTGTCACGTAGAAGATGGAGCAGATCTCTTCTCTCTTGCTCCGGATTGCAAGACTAGATCTAAAGGGTGGAAATTCCAAGGGAGTCGTTACCGGCTAAATATCAGGAGAAACTTCCTAACTGTAAGAGTGGTTGAGCAGTGGAACAGTCTGCCTCGGGAGGTGGTGGATGTTCCTTCGCTGGACGTTTTCAAGCGGAGGCTGGACGACCATCTCTCGGGTATGTTGTAGATATGTAGGACCTATCTTTCAGCTATGCTCCTGCAGAGTGCAGGGGGTTGGACTAGATGACCTGCAAGGTCCCTTCCAACTCGTAACTTTCTATGATTCTATGACAGCGTTGCTCGGAACAGCAAGAATCCTGTGAAGAAACCTCTGCAATTCCCAAGAACCTGGTTAGATCTTGAACGGCAGAACACCATCCATTAGTCTGATATCTGATATTATTATTATCTTAATGATAATAATAATAATAATAACAATCACAGAATGGGTAAGAATTGCTCGTCAGCCAGTTGAGTTGAATTGTCCCTTTGTTTAAACATTAAAATTTTCCAGGACCTCAAGGAAAAGAAATCCACTTCTTTCTTTGAATTTTGACAGTCATCAGTGAGTCAACCCAAACAACTGAAGGTTCTGGAGATGTACAACCCACTTGGGGCAGAGGGAGGAAATGGATCTTCTGAGGAGGAGAGACAGGTTGGAGCCAAGTCTGTGAACAGCTGCTGCAAGTTTAATGTCCTCTAATGTGCCTTTCTCTCTGAGGGCCGGCTCATATAGTACGTCCAGGAGGAATCCTTGCTTCTCTCTCGCAGCCCGCTAAGCAGGGACTCCCACATCCATGAGCTCCAGATGAGTGCCGGAGGCAGGCGTCTCCTGGGGAAGGGGTCAGGAAGACTCAGCACAGCACAGGGAAAGCAGGGGCAGGATTTATGTGAAGTGTGAGCTGAGGAGGGAGGAAGTGGGGGAGTGTGGGTGG